AAAGAGATGTGTACCACTAAATTTTCATCAAAAATAGGTCCTATATCCATTTTCATCTGCTGAACGACAATCTAGGAGGATGTGCACGCGTTTTTTACTGCTTGATTTCCAGTATATGCTTGTGTGGCCGAACTGAGGCCACAAGGTAAACGACATTGATAGTGGAAAGTCTTTCGCTCATCACTCTTTTACAGCCAAGTTCGAATTTTTTTTGTTTTGCACACTTATTTTTTAATTGAATGTGTGTAGAGCAACTTGTACATCCATGTTTTGATTTTCAAGTCCTCATTTACTCATCCATATTTTAATTTTCTAGGGTCTTAAGTTTTACTTATATGCAGAGATTCTAAAATTGAGCTACTGTCACATTGAACGCAAATTCTAGCGGGCATATTTGCCCTTTCGAGTCACCGATCTACCAACATTTTTCCTCGGATATGAAAGCAAACTGTAAATGGGTGCAATGTGTAAATTCGTTATACATATCGTAAGAACATTTTCTGAACATTCGTGTTCTACTACATATGCTCATAAGGTGTTGATCTACAGATAAAATTAAATGTAACCAAATGTAAATTAAGGTTAGTTAAGCTCAGCGTGCTCATCTGCTGATTACCTTTGCTTTAATCAAGAATATGCATCTATCGAGTTGCTCTACACATATTTAGCAATTAAAAAATTAAAACAAAACAAAGGGATCTAGCGGGAATCGAACCTCGCTGTGAAAGTTTGATGAGCAAGAGACCTATCACAGTATCCACAAAATTGTGAGAAAAAACGCTTGCAGCTCCCCCAGATTGTCGTTCGGCAGATATGGAAAACGGATTTCGGTTATATTTCTGATGAATTCTTATGGTATAGAGCTCATTCCGGATCGCCCTACGACTTCGTATCCTTCCTTTGTGAGACAATAATTAGGAATAAAAAGAAATAGCCAGCTCATGCAGGAAGGAAAACCTCAAATGCTTTGCTGCAATAATAAAACAAAAGATGCAAAATCATAGATAACCAAAAAAACCAATATTTTGCAGCTTCTAATTTACAGATGCAAACTTTTTCAAATTATTATCAGTATTTATTGCTTCATGATAAAGATAATCTGAAGCACAAGAAGAATTTTTGGAGAATTTTAAACTAGCAAAATTGAAATAGAGTTTCTCCATATTTGAATGACAGAATGATCTTATTGCATATTTTATTAACTCATTATAAGGGACGGGAAGATGGCAACTGTCAAAAGTGTACGTCTTCGACAAAATGGGTAACTACTCTTATCGCATAAAGAGTTCATGATTGCGCACGTTCGATAACACATCTTAACGAAAAAACTCTGATACAAGGTATGAGGAGCAAAGTAGCACACCTAGGTTGTTACAGGAAAATTAAGAGCCTGAAAAAAGTTTTGTATTCAACTCCTCTTAGGCTGATGAAAAGATAATTAGTGATTTGTTCTATCTTCACACATACTATTTTGAAAGTTAAAAGTGCGTATCCACAATTTCAAATGATTCTGAGGAAAAAAAACGTTCGACATTAAGCGAACTTTTAAACTTTTCAGCATTAAGTTACTTTCCGTAAACGAAGATTTTTTCCTATGTGCTGCTAACAGCGGCACGAAAAAAATGACGGTGCAAAGCAAAATTCGAGAAGAAAAGACTGTCTGAAAGCGACTTCTACCAGTGAACAGTAAAAATAAATTGTTGCGCTGATAATGCGGACCTTTGAATCTGATCATGA